GTCTGGATAAACCGTCTTGTTGCTTCACCTCTGCTTGTGGCTGCTCTGCCTGCCCAGCTGCCCTGCTCCACCCCAGACCTGCCCTGCAGTTGAAGATGCCAGTGGATTTTGAGATGATCAGGGTGCTTGATGGCCAAGCTGCTCTGTGCCTGGCCCCTTTATCTCCTGCTCTGACACCTTTATGCCTTATTCAGCCAAGGACACCCAAGAGATGATCCCATTTGCCTTACACCAAATCCCATTGGTGTCCATAATGGGGCCAGAATAATGTTTAACCCATGTTTCCTCCATCTTACCTAAGGTTTGGAATTCAAGGCTAAAGGTCCTTCTGGAGGAACTGGTGACTTTGTTCTTGGAGGTCAGGACAGGAGGAGTTGAGGCTATAGGGTCTCTTCCCTGGGGGCCTGGAGGCAGATGTTTTCCAGGGGCTTCTGTCACTTCTGTCTCCCAGTTCTCACCTCTGGTTAATCTTTAACTCCTGCAGGCAGTACAAGGCCATCTGCTCCAGTGCTGCCATCCTGGCTTTGCCACATGTGGGCTTTGTTTGGCTTTCTCTGGCTTTGATGTGCAGAGCAGGGGGTTTGGGGTCTGTCACCCTTCCAGAGTGGGCCAGCATGTATCCAGTCATAGGTATCCCAGTAGGCTGCCTGCTGGGCAAGCTGGTTGCTCATCGCCCAGTTTGAAATGGAGAGAGACTGTATTGGGAGGGGATAAGTCTTGAAGACACACTGGGACTTTTCTTCATCACATTCATATTTCAAACACCTGTTGACTTTTATTTTTCCTTTGGTTTGAGGAGCTTAAAGACCAGCAGCTCTTTGAAGGGCTCAAAGGAGGGCTTCCTGTTCAGGAGACACTTCTGAAGTGGTGTTGAAAGTGTCAGGGTGTTGGCTTGTGTTGCAGCTCTCTCCTTTGGAAGAGCTTGATGGAGCGCAAGACTCTTGGTTTCCTTAAAAACCTAAATACTGCATTGGTGGGAAGTTTTGTGGAGCATTTCTGGTGAATCCCCAGATCACAGGTCCTTGGTTTCCCATCTGTCCTTTGTGTGCCAGGAGCACCAGCCATGCTAGAGAGGTGTCTGGTGCTGGAGAGCAGACTTGCCAAGAAAGCCCCATCCATGGCTGCTCTTCACCTGCAGGATTTCCTTCTGCTTTTCCTGCTGCTTTGCTTTGCTTCTCATTTTTCCCAAGCAAGCAAGACTCAGAGCCCTGTGCCATGTTTCTACATGCACAGACTCTTCTTGGGGCAACTCTCCTGGTTTCCTGCTCCTCTCTGCCAACTGCAGCTGACCCAGGTACCTCCAGCCCTCCAGCTACCACTTGGGTAAGGCTTGAGCTGGTAGGATCTTCCTAATCTCTGAAAAGCTGGAAAGGAGCCTTTCTGTTACTGCTGTGAGGACACAACAAATCTTAAGGAATGGTGGGATCTGGGTTTTTTAACCCCAGATGGGTTTTTCAGTGAGTGTGTTGAGCTCATCCTGATGCTTCCTGGCTGAGGAGGGAGGGGTAGAGCAGTGGGCCCTGCAACTTCTGGCACTCAAGGAAGTTGCGTTGCATTAATATCTGGATTTCTAAATAGAACATTTTCAATTTAAACAAAGAAATCCAGGAAGGCTTCTTGAATTGGCTCAACTCATCAGGCCAAACAAAACACTCAGCAAAACAATATTGAAAAAAGAAGAATTTGCTGAGAAAATACTTTTCATGCACTTAAATCCTTCACTTCTAGACAAATAGTTGTTTGGATGTTTTGACTTTGTAATCAAAGTGTTTATGGGATGATTCCCAATATCTCAGCAAGCCTGACTGTGTCCTGCAGAAGAATCCACAGTGTTTTTCTTCTCCACCTGCTACGTGTTGATGCTCTAAAAGACTTTCATCTCCTAAAAGGGCTGGTGCCAACTTGTTCCATCCTTGTTCATGTCTCCAGGATGAACTTTCTTGGCTCTCTTGGGTTTTCTTATGGGGTTTGCATGGGCTGAAAACAAGCTGTGCAATATGGGGCCGCTTTTATGCCCTTGAGTCTTTTGGGATGTCAAATGCACCAAAGTAAGTTTATTTCAGTGGATTTGGAAGTCGCCACAAAAAATTCAGAGCAGAGGTTAAACTGGTGGCAGTGAGGGATGGAACAGGTTGAAGATGTGGCCAGACAAGCCTTTCCCCCCCCTGCCATGCATTTTGCTCTCATATATCGTGCTGTGCTGGATTGTGGCTGACATCTTGTGCTTTTCTGCCTGATATTTTAAGCTGCTCACTTGGAGCACATCTCTGAAATTGGTCACAGAAAATGTGTGGATTGCTCAGTCCCTCAGATTCTCCTTGCTGATTCCCATTTGCCTGTGCACAGGAGGTCCTGGTGCAATGAGCTGTCAACATTTTGGGGGGGGAAGACCAAAAGCTGAACCATGAGAGTGATTTGGTTGTCCCTGGGTTTGGTAGAAGCTCCAGGTTTAACTGGGCGGTGAGGTCCTGCCTGAGAGCTGGCAGGAACCCCCAAAGGAGGTGCTCTGTGAGCTGCTGGGGTAACACTAACTGCTTCTGAGTGTAGAAACCTGCAGGATGAGGGGAAGTCAGGAAAATGGCATGAGGAGGCTGGGGACAATGCCAGGTTTTCCTTGCTAAGATCCCTGTTTGGTGCTGGGGTGTTTGCCTTGTCCTGGCTGCCAGCCCTGCTCATCTTCCAGCCTGGGCAAGGCTGAGGCCATCCCATCCCTTCCCTGTATCCTGGGTTGGGGTCAACTGCTTTAATTTGTCTGGTTGGCAAATAAAAATCCTCTCAGCTGCTTGCAAAGCCCCCCAGTGCTTCCCTGGCTCTCCCAGGTAGAGCTTTGATGCTCCTGTAACTTCTCTACCTGTTGTTGTCCTTGTAGGTGCATGGAGGGCGGCGACAGAAGAATGGGGCACAGAGGACTGGAATGAAGATGTAGGTACTCTCCAAAGCCCTCTTCTCCACATGTCTGCTGTCAGGCTGCTGTCCTGGGTCTGCACACACAGCTATGAGGGAGGCACAAGGCCCATCCTCCCTAAACTACAGGCACAGCCCCAGCCAGGCTCCCAGTCCCAGAGCTCTGAGGAATAAGCAGAGCAGATGTTGATGCTTCTGAAGTACGTGGGTAGCAGAGCTTGTTATCAGAGCCCCAGACAGGAAGGGATCTCACAAGACATCAGGACTGGTCCTCTTCTCATTCCCTGCAGCTGCAGGGTTGAGTTCTTCCATAAGCTGGCCTGGCTTCACACCAGGTTCTTGCTCTGCTCCTCTAGTGGGGTGGCAGTTTGGGAAGGTTTCCCTTTGATCTACACCACATGCTGGAGAGGAGGCAGCAGCAGTTTCATGCATGTCACGTGCCTCTGCTGGTCCTTGTGTTTTGGATGGAAGACAAGCTCTTGGCTTTACCTTCTGACTTGCTCTTGTATATTTTGCTGCTTTTTGTTCCCTACCTGGTGCCTCCTTCAGAGCAGAACAGACACTGTTACCGCTGGCTTTTAATGCCTCTTTGTCACTTGCTTCTGAAATGAGCTTCAGTCCCTCTGAATCAAGGGAGAACTTCTGTTCTTGCAGATGGAAGCAGAGTTGAGCTTTTTTAGTGTTGTTACTAGTTTTGCAAGCTCATTTTTTCTAAGCCTGCAGGGTGGGCATGAAGGGAAAGCTTTTGCTTTACAGTCACTGTCTGAAGGAAACGCTCCTGCTGTGTTTGGAGAGAGGAGCAGCTCCTCTGTCTGTTCACTCAGGTCTCTGCTTGGAGAGAGCCTTTGGTGGCACCTCTTGCCTTTCCTATGTGTTGATATGCTCCCAGGGGCTCCTGATTTTGTTTTTAGACTATAGTTGCTGGCAGCTCCTTGGTCTGGAAGGAAAGCTGTTTATATTCCGGTATGTTCCAGGCTGGATCACAGGTGGTCGCTAAAACTCCCCCTCAGGTGGTCACTCAACCTCCTCTTCATTCATTTTTGAGCAATTTCTTTTTTCCTTCCATAGCTGAGATGCACCATCAGTTCAGAGCATCTCTCTAAGACCCCCCCCCAGCCCTAGTAGATTCGGGAGCTACAAAAGAAAATTGTAGAAGGATTTGAGGTTTTTTTCCCACTGGCAGGTGATTTGTGCACTTACCTGAGAAGTAAAAAATGAAAGAGAAGCTGATTCTGATGGGAACCAAATATTAGGGAAGGTTGAGTCTCAGTATTTGACTTCCTTGAATATTTGTGGCTGTTTGTCTGAAATGCTTGTGTGCTTGAGCTGGAGTCCTGAGATGCTCTTCTCATGTTTGGATTCTTTTTCCCTCTTGTACCTTGCAGCTGTCTGAGACTAAGATCTTCACCGCCTCCAACGTGTCTTCAGTGCCTCTGCCTGCTGAGAATGTGACAATCACAGCTGGACAGAGGTGATAGTCCATGACAGTGTTGTGGTTTTTTTTCATGTGAGAAAAGTGGTGCCCAAGTCCCAGAGCAAATTGCTGTCTTGCACTAATCCTTGCCAGCTAGCTAAAATATAGCAGCTCTGAAGAAGCTGAGGTGGATTTAAATGGAAAAGTTGAGTTAGGAGGTTCTGGGTCCTAATCCTGGATTAGAGGTTTTCTTGGAGCTGCTGCTGCTGCTTCAGATTTGAGGGCATTTTGCAGTGTTAAATTAATGCTTTAAAATAGAAAGCCCAGCAGGGTCTTGCTTAGTCCTGTCCTCTTGAGGTTACTTAATGTTCTGCACTCGGTTTGCAAAGTAAAAGCAGGAGGTGAGAGGTGTGACAGAACTGGTGTCAACCTCAGTGGGTTAGAGAGTCATAGAATCATGGAATGGTTTGGGTGGGAGGGACCTTAAAGCTCATCAAGTCCCACCCCTGCCATGGGCAGGGACACCTCCCACCAGCCCAGGCTGCTCCAAGCCCCATCCAACCTGCCCTTCAACACCCCCAGGGATGGGGCAGCCACAGCTTCCCTGGGCAACCTGGCCCAGGCTCTCCCCACCCTCACACTCCACAATTCCCTCCTCAGCTCCAACCTCCAGCTCCCTCTCCCACTTTTCATCCATCCCACTCATCCCACCCCTCCCTGCCCTTGTCTCAAGTCCCTCCCCAGCTTTCCTGGAGCCCCTTCAGGCCCTGGAAGCTGCTCTAAGGTCTCCCTGGAGCCTTCTCCTCTCCAGGCTTAACTCTCCCAGCCTGGCTCCAGAGCAGAGCTGCTCCAGCCCCTTATCTTCTTTCTTTACCCAGAATCGATCTTGCAGTTCTGCTAGGAAAAACACCCTCTTCTATGGAGAATGAGTCAACAAACCTGGAGTCTTCCCAGGCTCCTTCCCTGGCCCAGCCACTGGTGTTCAGCAATTCCAAGCAGAGTGGGATATCTCAGCCTGCCTCTGGGAACTCCTTCTCTCACCACAGCATGGTAAGGAAGTCCTGATCCCTGCCGGTCTGGGAGTTTTGGCAGGGGTTGGTTTTCCTGAGCTTCTCTGCCTGCGTTTGGGTGGTTGTCTTATTGCAACTGAACAAATGTAGTTGAATGTATTTTTAAACCTGTTAACTTTGTGAGCCTCCATGACACTGTGAAGCCCCAGGGGTTGGGCAAGAGATGAATGTATCTGTGCTCATGTGAGATAAGGCTGTGAGGGAAGGTGGAGCTCTCCTGGCCAGTGGTTTCTGTGCATCTGAAGCTCAGGAGGGTCACCCTCAGGCACCCAGAGAGAAGCAGTGGGGTACAGGGTGTGCAGGCTTGTGTTAAGAGATGTATCTTGTTCTCTGAGCTGAGTTCCAAGCAGAGGGAGATGTTGACTTTGTTCTTTCATTGCTGAACTTGCAGGTGAGCATGCTGGGGAAAGGGTTTGGAGATGTCGGGGAGGCCAAGGGCAGCAGTACCACAGGTTCTCAGTTCCTGGAGCAGTTCAAGACAGCCCAGGCCTTGGCCCAGCTGGCTGCTCAGCACACCCAGACTGGTGGAAACACCACTGCTCCTTCCTGGGACATGGGATCCACCACGCAGACCTCATCTCTCGTGCAGTATGGTAAGGAAATGCAGCATGGACCTTCTCCCACAGCTGCAGGATCACGCTGCAAGCAGCAGTGTGAGGGGTTCCAGGAAGGGTTAGATCACAAGTTCACAGCCAAGACAACTGCTGGAGAAGTTAAAAGAGTTGTGGGTGCCAGTTTGTTGGAGTAAAATATAATGGTGCATGTGGGTCTTTCTCTGTTCCTTTTGTACTTCCAGCAGTTGAATCTGTCTGGTTCTTGGTCATTCCAGCCAGCTTCAGAGCTAGGGAACTGGTGTTCCTGAGACCCTCACAGAGTGCAGAACTACTTGGTGCTGTAAAGCTGCCTAACAGAGTAGGGGTCTGAAAGTGGTACCTCTGGAGAACAGTTCCTGGATACCAACACTTGGCAGTTTCACTGCTGACCTGGCGTTATCTTTTAAAGGAATTAAATTCTGATGACAAATGCCCAGATGTAACTCTTACCTCTGGGCTGGCATGAAGGAATAAACAGTGATTAAGAGACTCCTGCTTTTTAGATGAGAGCCCTGAGCCCTGCTGTGGTCAAGCAGTAGTGCCATTTCTTTCAGCTTGTCCTTTTGATTTCCTGCTATAGGGAAGTGGCTCTGGTTCAAGTCTAAGCTGAATTAAAACCGAGCTCTGTCCTAGTAACAGTGTTGGCAGCTTCTGATATTTTCAGACAAGGAGGCACAGAGGAGAAGCAGAGAGAATAGGAGTTGTTTTTTAATAAGCTGTGGTAAGGCTTAGGAGGAGGACAAGGGTGGTGCAGTTGTTCAGAGAGCTGAGGGTGGGCAGATCTGAGTGGCCCAGCTTGGAGGGGTCTGTGCAGGGAAGGCACAGGCAGGAAGAGCAGCAGTGTTAGCAGGGAGGGGGGAGCAGCAGCATCAGGTCCACACAGGCCCTGACATGCAGTGCCTCACACAAGGGACTCTGACATCCAGCTTTTCCTGGAGGACAGAGGACTTCTGTGCAGGCTCACTTTGTCCTCTAGACATGGTGGAATGAGATGAGGGGAGAAGGGCTCAAAAGGCTCAGCCTTGATGGTGAGAGCGCAGGGCTGGGAGTGGAGATCCCAGGGTTCTCTGATTTTAACAGGCTCCAGAAGAAGTGATTTTGCGGGTTTTTTTGGTGCTGAGAAGTGTCAGAACCTGATTTAGCTCTAGGGAAACCAATCCAGCTGACTCAACTCTTGTCTCCCCCAGTAGATCTCAAGAACCCAGCGGACTCCTCAGTGCACAGTCCCTTCGCCAAGCGCCAGGCCTTCACCTCCACCTCCACCATGATCGAAGTGTTCATGCAGGAGAAGCAGCCTGTGGTGACTGCCTCCACAACTGTGCCGGCCCCACCATCCTCCCCGCTGCCCAGCAAAACCAATCCTGTCCCCCAGATGTCCCCGGGGTCCTCAGACAACCAGTCCTCCAGCCCTCAGCCAGCACAGCAGAAGCTGAAGCAGCAGAAGAAGAAGGCGTCATTAACATCAAAGGTGTGTGGTGGTGGGGAAGGAGGAGTTGTGTGTTGTGTTAGAGCATCTGACAAGCAGATGCTGAGAGAGCTGGGGCTCTAGTCTGGAGAAGGCTGAGAGGAGACCTCACTAATGCCTACAAGTATCTGAAGGGTGGGTGCAAGGAGGATGGATCAGTAGTTCCCAGTGGCAGGACAAAGGGTAACAGGAACAAGCTGGAACATGGGAAGTTCCATTTAAATATGAGAAACAACGTATTTACTGTGAGGGTGACTGGAACAAGCTGCCCAGGGAGGTTGTGGAGTCTCCTCTGGAGGTGTTCCAAACCCACCTGGATGCAGTCCTGTGGGATGTGCTCCAGACAGTCCTGCTTTAGTGAGGGAGTTGGACTGGATGATCTTTAGAGGTCCCTTCCAACTTGGACAGTTCTGTGAATTCTGTGAAAAATCCGCTTGGGCTGGTGAGGGAAGGGCTGGGCTTGTGTCTTTCTGTTGTTGACACTGGTTATTTTGGGGGTGGCAGGAGAGTTTGCCCAGCTGGGCTGAACAGCCTAATCCAGAGCATGTCTGCAAGCCTGCAGCTACCACCGTGTCCTGCCTCACATGGATGCTGGAAGTCCTTCTCTGTGCTGATCCCAGGGAGTGATTGACCCTCTCCCTTTTTCTTCCTTGCAGATTCCTGCTCTGGCAGTGGAGATGCCTGGCTCAGCAGATATCTCAGGGCTAAACCTGCAGTTTGGAGCATTGCAGTTTGGTTCGGAGCCTGTTCTGGCAGAGTACGAGTCTCCTCCCGCCACGAGCGCTGCTGCCAGCCAGGCCCAGAGCAGCCTGTACACCAGCACAGCCAGGTGAGGAGCAGCAGAGGGAGGGAAGGGTGCATCCCAGCAGCTTCTGTGGCCTGCAGCATACTAGTAGACCCTTTCTGACCCTGCCATGGCCACAAAGGGGGGACAAGGTATGCAACAGCAAAGCATAAGTTGCCAGCAGACTCTCAGGCAGCTGTATGACTGATGGGCCTGTGGTACTTAAACAGAAAGCAGAGCTTTCCTGCTGCTCTTGAGCTGTGTTGCTGGAAGCACAGGAGGAGAAGCCCCAGCACAACTGCTCCTTGTCCCTGGTGAATGGATTCTGCCAGCTTTGTCCTGCTTCTCACCTGGCAAACCAGGATGCAGGGAGCAGATACGTCTATGGCAGTGGTGCCTTGCCAAAGTTCCTGTCTTCTGATGGTGTCACAGAGTGGCTGGGGTTGGAAGGGAGCTCTGGAGATCATCTAGTTCAACCCCCTACCAGAGCAGGGTCACCTATAGCAGATCCCACAGGAATGTGTCCAGATGGCTTTGGAATGTCTCCAGAGAAGGAGACTCCCCAGCCTCCCTGGGCAGCCTGTCCCAGGGCTCTGTCACCTTCACAGGAAAGAAGTTTCTCCTTCTGTCTAACTTGACCCTCCTGTGCTCCAGTTTGTGCCCATTGTCCCTGGTCCTGTCACTGGGCACTGCTGAGAAGAGCCTGGTCTCACCCTCCTGACACCCCCTGGAGATACTGATCAGCATTTATAAGATCCCCTTCAGCCTCCTCCAGGCTAAACAGACCCAGCTCTCTCAGCCTGACCCTTAGCATTTGACCAGTGACTTGAGGGAAGGGACCTGAGTGGTGGCAGCTCATGGAGTGTCCCCTGGAGCCCAGCAGTGAGGTGCCAGCACCTCCTGAGCCCAGACCATCCTTGTCTGGGGCTGCTTCTCTGTCTGGACCTGCTTTGTGTGGTGCTTTTATGCTGATGGGGGCTCTTGATTTTGAAGATTTGAAACGAAGACCCTACAGTCTGGCTCAGCACCTGATGGTGGGGTTGTTTGGGAGGATAATGCAAACTTCTTTTATTTTTTCTTTCTCCCTTTTTATAGTGAATCATCATCTACAATTTCGTCCAATCAGAGCCAGGAGTCTGGTTACCAGAGCAGCACGATGCAGACAGCAACGTTTACCTCCCAGAACAGTGCTCAGGGACCACTGTACGAGCAGAGATCCACCCAGACCAGGCGATACCCAAACTCCATCTCCTCCTCACCTCAGAAAGATCTGACCCAGGCCAAGGTAGGAGAGCAGATTGGCTTTGTGCTGAGTAACCTTAGCGTGTGAAGCACTGTCTTGGGGGGAGGATAAGTGGTTTATCAAGTGTTTCTGTGTGGCACGTGGGCTTTCCTGAGAGCTTCCTTCTGGCTGCCCCCAGAGCCCTTCCTGATGTTACTTACCTGGGGCTGGGCCACGGGGGTTAACAGAGGTTAAGTTGACTCCAGGCCATGTGTCATGTCACACATAATTACCTGCTGCAGGGTTGCAATCAGGCTGAGGACTTAGGTTTGTCTTAAGGATTTGATTCTTGTGAGCTACATATGAGTTCAGTAACATTAGTTTTGGTTCATGAACTTGGGTTGAGGGTGTTGAGCCAGTCCAACTACAAGCAGCAGAGAAACTTCTTGCACTGCTTTCTGAAGTAGGTGCGTGAGGGTCATGCTGGTCCTGGGCTAGTTGAGCTTGGATTGACCCTGGAGCAGTCTGGTGACGTGTTGGTGGCACCCCTTTTTCACAGCTGAGGGGGGAGTGTAGCAGGGGCTGACACCAGATCTGCCTCTGGACACAAGCAGCTCCAATGCTCTTTTTTCTCTCCTTCCTCAGAATGGTTTCAGCTCTGTGCAGCCCACGCCGTTACAAACCACACAGGCTGTTGAAGGTAAGAGTCTGTGCTGTGGGTGTCCTGAGTCTCTCCTGCTGCTCCTGTTCTTTGCTCTGGATTAAAAGCTTTATCTGTGCTAATACCAAGTCCTTTCCCTGCTTGGACTAATTGCTGCCACTCATATTACTTGCTTGCCTCAAAATGTTCAGCTTTGTGCAAATGGATCCATGAGATCCTCCATGAGTCACTCTATGGTGATAATTTACTCTATTTCTGAAAGGCACCTCATCTGGAGGTCCTGAAGCTCTTTGCAGGTTTGGTGTTGCGGTACAGAGAGGCATAGAACACAAGCATCTAACTGGTTGGCAGCAGTGAGGGAAGCCCCAGATCTCCCTGGAAGGGAGTTGGATGGGGCTTGGAGCAGTCTGGTCTAGGTGTCCCTGCCCATGCAGGGGGGTTGGATCTGTATGAGCTTTAAGGTCCCTTCCAACCCAAACCATTCCATGATTCTGTGATCTTCCTGCTCCTCTAGTTGAGCCTTTTCTGATTCTCATCACTGGCCTCACCTTGGATCCTGGGGGCAGTTCTGGGCCCCTCACTTCAAGAACAACATTGAGGTGCTGAGGCAGGTCCAAAGGAGACAACAGGGCTGGGGAAGGGACTAGAGGGAAAGTCTGATGAGAAGAGGCTGAGGGAGCTGGGGTTTTTTAGCCTGGAGAAGACTCAGGGGACCTTCTTGCTCTCTAGAACCACCTGAAGGGAGGTTGGGGTCAGGTGGGTCTGGGCTCTTCTCCCAGGAAACCAGAGACAGGAGGAGAGAGTCTGTCCTGAAGCTGCTCCAGGGGAGGTTTAGGATGGATGTCAGGAAGCACTTCCTCATGGAAAGGGTGATCAGACACTGGGATGGACTGCCCAGGGAAGTGGTGGAGGCACCATCCCTGGAGGTGTTCAAAGAAAGGCTGGAGGTGGCACTTGGTGCCATGGTCTAGAGATGTGGTGGTGTCAGGTCACAGACTGGACTTGATGATCTGAAAGGTCTTTTCCAGCCTTGGTGATTCTGTGATCCTGTGACTGCTCCTGGCTGCCCCTAACACGAAGCTTTTGTTGGCAGGTGCTACAGGCCCCGCGGTGAAGTCTGATTCCCCCTCTGCTCCCAACATCCCACCCCTCAACGATGGGGTCCCAGCAGCGTCCCTGCTGACCACAGCCAACCAGCACTCGACAGCCCTGAGCAGCCTGAGCCACAGTGAGGAGCTCCCCAGTACGACCAGTGCCCAGCTCAGCAGGTCAGCCTGGTGCTTCTAGGGAAGCACAGGTAGAAGCAGGGGGCTGTAGCAGCCAGGTCTGTCTCAGCAGTGGGGAAGGCTGAGGTGACCCATCCTATCTGAGGGGATGTGGAATGGGATCTTTCCTGGTACCTTACCTTGACAACCTCTGCTCTGGAGCCAGACCGGGAGAGTTGGGGTGTTCAGCCTGGAGAAGAGAAGGCTCCAGGGAGACCTTAGAGCAGCTTCCAGTGCCTGAAGGGGCTCCAGGAAGGCTGAGGAGGGGCTTTTCACCAGAGAAGGCATTGATAGGACAAGGAATCATGGTTTTAAACTGAAAGAGAGGAGATTTAGGTTAGGCATCAGGAAGAAATTCTTCCCCATGAGGTTAGGAAGGCACTGGAACAGGTTGCCCAGGGACATTGTGGCTGCTCCATCCCTGGAGGTGTTCAAGGGCAGGTTGGATGGAGCTTGTGCAACCTGGTCTGGTGGGAGGTTGGAACCTGATGGTCTTTAAACCCCTTCCAACCTTCACCATTCTATGATTCTATGAACTTTTTCCTTCTCCTTGCACAGCACGTTGCCCGCCCAGCAGAACAGTCTGTCCTCATCCACATCCTCTGGGCGAACATCGACTTCGACTCTTCTGGTGAGTCTGGGTGTGCTCTAGTGCTGCAAACC